TACGGCTGTGAAGTGGATCCAAGACGTATTTTCAGATATAGCTCGAGTCATACTTTACATCAAGTTTAAGTCTTCAGAATATGTCAAGAAAGTTAGATTTTTTAAGAATCACATTCTTATGTTAACTTTACATGACTGGTTTATTCTCAAAGTTTTAAATGAATGAGTCTCTGGTATAGAGACTCCTCACAACCGTTTGAATTTTTATTCTGTTTTACAATGACAGCTCCTAGCGAGGAAAGAACCAAACTATATTTAAATTAAAATATTTTTCAGAAACATTCCATGCTGATGATGCTCCGTATATTGATAATGATAAAAAAGTTAATGTTTTATGTAACTTGAAGAATATCATGCTAACTTTGTTCGTAAAATATGTCTACGTTTTTGTTTTCTCTCGTTAAAAACCTGAGAATTATAAAACTATGAATAATTGACGTATATTTTTGCGGGAATTTCGCCATACGTAACTAACACGGTAAGCTATACACGCCCTCAAATATAAACTTATTCGAAACAAACGTTGACATTAAAATAAATATATCACAAATTCGTTATACACAACACATATCTGATAATACAAGTTACGCCTATTTCTAAATAAAAATTTAATCCAAACAACGTTCATATTAAAAGTAAATACATAATAATAAATTCGTTACACTATTTTTGTTAGAAACTTGTTACTTCAAACTCGGATCTTCTTGACGTTAGACAATAAGCAACATAACCTACTGACGTAGAATTAGTTTTTTCTCCCACCGACAACCATACTTGAAATAACTCACTATACAGAGTATCCAACGCAAGGCATGTGGATATCTGTTTAGAGGTATACGGTTACGTACCAAAAGATGTGTATCTCAAAAAAGATGATTTTGAACTTATCAAAAACTAACAGATAGCATTTCATGGTTTATGAATCACTAGCAACTGTCAACGTGTAAAATTAAACGACTTATCTAGAGAATAAACTAAAAACGAATTTTCGGTTCAAGACCAACTTACCTATGACACCTTGTTTCGTTAGGCCCACAGGATAAACTGCGTGATCATAAAAAGCGGATGGGCGTTTTACGAAATACTACTACGTACCGTCTATTCTCCACGCGCTATTATGTCATGTCATTGTTATATACAAAGGTATTATTACACAGTACATTTTAGGATCTGTATTAATCACATAATCATATATTATATATATAATATAATATATGAAAGTTTGTTTATTTATTGTTAAGTGCAAAGCTATGCAACAGGCCATTTGTGCTGTACATAACACGGATATCGAAACCTCATTTTTAGCGTTATAAGTAGAGACTTACAGCTGAACCACTGGGGTCATATATGTAAAAGAACATTAGCTACACAAACAAGCAGACCCTTCACAACTTTCTTACATTTAGACTATTAGTCCACTACAGGGTTTCACAAATTGGTCGCCGAAACTCTACAGTGGATGAAGAAATACCTCGGGGTCGAAAATGACCCCTATTCATACGCTTGTTAAAGCCCATCAGGCCCATCCATCTCATTAGAGATAATTAAAAACCCGTTCTTTTTTTACATCTTGTTTCCGAACGATTGTATTATGATGAATAAAAGTTGTGTATATATTGAAGTTTCATTTATAATGTATAATCCAAGAACTTGGGGGTCGATGACAATTTTATAAGTTCGTCAAGGGGTCAACAATTCAAAACATTTTGGGAAACCCTGGACTACTGTGTATATAAAAACGTGCCGTTCTAGAGAAATGAAACTATCCCAAAAGAGTTTCAGAGTTTCCGCGCAAAACTACTTTAGAAGTTATCTCCGCATAGTCGAGTAGACTAGATGGAATATGGCTAGTAAACCGAATCCACCGCCAACTGTTGGGCTACTCTTGTCTAACCAATTGTTGGGATTTGTCCGTTTCTCTTATTACACTCCCATTGCTTCATAGAACCCAGTGTGCGGATTTTTGTGACAACAAGCTGCAAAGTCTAAATCCTCAGACTGACAGTTCAAGAATGCTAAGCAATGGGCCACACTCGATCCAGATCCTACTTTAACACGTATAAATTATTTCTCCATTGGTTAAGTTTAGTACTACTGAAGAGGTTTATTAACTCTATCGTCACGAGTCAAACGTCATGTCATCGCGTTACATTCAAAATTTTATTGAACTACTATTTTATGAACTTATATCAATGCGTTTGTATGAAATAGTAGATTAGAATTTAATTTTAGTATTATACATTAGTTAAGTTCTTAATTTAAAAGTAAATATTATAAGAACACACCTAAATATCGATTTTTGTGTGCCACGTGGTATGCTGAATACAGCATTGGTTCAAATTAGATGTTTGTGATGTTCAAATACAAAGTCTATAGTTTCTTACGAATTGAGAACCCAAATTACCGATATTGACAAGCTAGAATATAAAATAAGAACCTCCTATCTTTTCTATTTTATTTGTTATACCTATCACCCCACTGCTCCTTCTAAGCGTATACCTAGTTCCCAAGTCCCATTTCCTTTCCTGCTAGAGACTACTATAAAAGTTGTCTTTATGGTATTTTGAACTAATTAAACAGGGGCTTAATTGAAGTGCTGTTAATATAGTATGCTGACTAGAAACTGATACTGGGTTAACTTACTGTGGAAATAGTAATAATAGTTCGTGTTTGCAGTCCCTTTGTATAGTTTGACTCTTGTTTTAAGGTAATTTCACTTATGCTCTATAAAATGTGATACATGAAAATGGTCCGTTTATGGTTAAACTGAGCGTGGTAAGAAAATTTGTTTCTTGTTTATGCATTCTTTGTGGTACATTGTTTTAAAGGGTAATGTTCTACCTATTCCAACATAACAGGCAGAGTGATTTGAAATTGAGAGGATATAACTGTCATGACTTACGAGTTACAAAAACGTTGGACGAGCTCTTAATGCTATGTAAAAGTATAATCTACGAACAATGTTTGCATTTTATATAAATAGCTGTGTAAGAAGCTCGAATCCACGGAAGAAAGCCGCCTTAAAAAAAAGTTTTACTTCCAACTAAAAAACGGTGCTACAGAAATATTGTAACAGTGTTGCGCCACCTGAACCATACTTTATAACTACTCTGTAAATAATTCTAAAACATTTCACCAAACAAGCAAATTTTACCGGTTTCTGACATCTGGTGTCTCCTGTGTCAATATAATACACTTAAACGCAAATATTCCCACCTGTACACAATACGTCAATACTGTATAAAGTAAACTTAAATAAAGCTTAAATCCACTATTACGGAACATTACAAAATTTATACGGATACAAGTTTCGACATTCTCACGTGTTCCCTTCTATCCAACATTTATGTGTGAGAGAAACACATACACTGTTTATTTTATAAGTACGACACCACTGAAGGTCACTCTAAGTTAAACCATTTCTGTCTTTATATACCGTTAGGGGCTTGGAACTTCCGTTATAAAATTAACAGTGTATGTACTTCACTCGTACAGAAACGTTGGACTGAAACTGGTATCCATATAAATTAGTGGATTTAAACTTTATTTCAGATCCTCCATGGACTTTCCAAGAGTTTCTTAAACATTGTAAATAATGAGCACTTCACTACAGTGAATGTATGTTTTTTCTGTCACCAGTATTCTTTGTGATATGTTGATAAAATCAATACGTTAGAATCTTGGTTTTTGTTTTATATTGCTTAAACAAACTTATTACGTTAATGGTGTAACTACATGATGCTGAATTATCTTTGTGTTTCTTGTTTGTAGCGCGTCTGGTTCATAATTAGTGGCTTTCAAAGTGTAACCATGTCGTGAGCGTAATTTATTTGAATACAACTTTCGTGAAATTTTAACAAAGAGAAAACGTTTCATAAGTTGTTTTTTTTACTTTTCTAGCTATTATAGTGAAATATTTAGATAGTCGTTAGAAGTCTGTTTCTGTAGGTTAGATGATACTTCCATATTTAATGAGCAGGGTGCATCCTAGTGGTTAGCATGACAGACTGAAAATGAGAGGTTTCGTGGTTCGCGACATGTTACTGAAAAACGAAATCGTGTTTTGTACTTTGGGGCCGTGGGAGTGTTACTCGATTAGAGTATCCCATAAGTTGGTGGTTAGTGTTTTTGACTAAATACTTTCCCTCTAGTCTATCAGTTAAAAACTGGAGATGGCTAGTGCAGATAGCCCTTGTTATGCGCTTCGCGAGATCTGAAACAAACAAATAAACAGCATTTATTTTCAGTTAACTATAACTATAACAAAAATATCAATTAACGGACATAAATCATATCAGTTAATAATAAGTACAACTATAACTAAAAACGATAACGTAATAGTAACGAAAATTATTTAGTTATCTATCTGACATACATCCACGTTCGTTGTGGGACAAGCGGTCTGACTGGAATCCCTATTTATGTGAATGCAATACGTTAAACATGCAGAAAATAATTAAGTAGCTAAACTGAAAGTGTGTTTACTGGCGACTTCTGCAAATAGTTCCATAAACAGAATAATACTTTTATTTAAAAAAAAAGTGTTTTTTTCTTATTCCAATATACCACCATATTGCCTTGTTTTTATTTGTTAAGGTCGTCACCTCTCGTTAACTATAATAACTTAAGTTGTATGTGGTTAAATGTAATAATAATTATAACTAAAATTAAACTAATAGCTTAAAGAAACGAAGTACAAATCGTTAACTATAAGTATAAACATAACTTTAAAAAACACAACTAAAAAAACTGTAAGTAAACTGATTAGTTTTATATTAGAGTATATTTTCAACAACCGAGTTAGAGAATGATTTAGTAATTCGATTTTGACATTTTACATCCACTCATTAAATGTTATAAAATCTTCAGATACTTGTAAAAACTTCTTAGAACTTCTCTGATCTAAGCGTTTGTACTTTTAATGTTCTTTTAAATTTAATATATTGTTGCGTCAGCGAGTCACATGACTACTATGACGCAACGTTTCTAGAACTATCATGTACTTTG